AAATTTATTTAATCTAATGAGCTATGGATGGAATCACCCCTTTCTTTTCTGCTAGTTACATACTAATGTTTGCAGGACAAATACTTTGAGTTCTGTCACACATCAAGCATGCATAACAATTTCTTTGCAAATTAACAGACAGGGAATCACTTTTCCCCAACTTTGTGAATGCAAGCTTTAGGGATGTCACTCTGAGTTCAGAATGATACCAGTTGGCAAAATTAAACTGTTTATTTGAAAGATAAGTCTCTCCTTCCGAAGACTGAGCAGTGAAGAAATAGTCTATTTTTATTAAACGTCTGGTGACACACGTTATTGCCAATCCCAAACATTCAAAAGTGAATCACCCTCCCACCACTGGAAATCATGAGGTTATTAAAAGAATCAGGTCTAAATTCTTTTTATTTGCTATTTGCTTTTGGAGCTGTTGGGCTTTATGCAGAAGCTTCTGTCCACAACTACAAGGTTGGACTTTTTAAAGCTGAGGTTCCCACATAATCACATGACATCAGGTGCTAGGGCTTTACGAAAAACACAAGATAAAAATCATGAGAACTAGTCTGGCAACAAAGAATCAACTTTTGTTAGAGATTACAGGTAGCCCACACATCCCACCCTTTCTTCCCCTCCCCTGCCATTCCAAGTTTTTAAAATTCCTCCTCTGAAACCCCAAAAGAACTGTCCCTATGCTCTTGGTCATATTCATACAGCCAAATAACATGCTGTGGTAAACTGTCACAGCAGTACCTCAGTTCAGCTGTCCTAGGTTATATTAGCAGGGAGCCTAATTCATACTGTTCCCTTACCAGCAGCAAGAGAATCAAACTGACAGCACAAGAGTCTGTCTCTGCAGTCCTATGGCCGTTGCTGACTAGGCAGAGTGCTGTGCGATAGCCAAAACACAGTCAGGGACTGAATCAGCAGTGTAGAAACAGCTGCTAGAGATGAAAGAGAGGGATGTCTCTCCCCTTTTTCTTACTGTCCAGAAGGTATAAAGAATGAGATTGAAGCACAGAACGTAAGTGAATAATTCACCATGAACATGTATTTATGGCATTATTCTTTTTCGTAATGCAGCATTCCCATTTTTATTCTGTGGATTGATGGCCATAACACAAATTTAAGTTATTCATGCTTAGTTGCAACTGGCAAGCTAAGTAACATGGTATGACTCTGGTTTTCCAAAGAAAACAAAATGCATGCTCTACCCTCACAAACACTGGAATGTGCTCCCCTGCCAGAAATGTCTGGTAGTGAACTCAATCACTGTGTCTTTCCAAAGCAAAGGGGTTTAGGAACTTTGGGCATCTATACAAATGTAATTACAGCTCGTCAGAGCTGACTTGATTAATCGAATCTGCTGGAGCGTGCTAAGTACTGCACTCCAGCACACTTCAGCATCACGTGCATCAGCATCCCCATGCTGAAAAATGGTGACAGCCCCACCCCTCCTCCTCCCTCCCCAGGGGGCCTTGATCTGCCCCCACGCTCCACTCCCCTTCTCTTCCCCCTCACCCCACACCAGACTTACCAGCTGAAGGCACCTCTCCACGCTGTGAGGCTGGTATCGGAAATCAGATTGGTATCAGCCAACATGCCTCCTTAAAAATTGGTTATAAGTATCGGCTGCAAAAATCTCTATCAGTGCACCCCTTGGTGACATAGCTGTGGTGTCATGGTTCGTGTCTGCCGATGGTACGCTGCCGTAGCACATTACTTCCCAGGGGCCCGCATCTGGGACATTGCGGAGAAGATCCCAAAGCTCCTCCAGCCCACAGACCACTATCCCATGCTCCTTATTCATGTGGGCACCAATGACACGGCTCGGAGCGCTCCCAGCCAGGTCATGAGGCGCTACAGGGATTTGGGAGTGGGGCTAAAGGGTCTGGGGGCACAGGTGGTGTTCTCGTCAATCCTCCCAGTCTTGGACTATGGGCCGAGGAGGGAGAGGAGAATCCACATAGTCAACCAAAGACTGAGGCGCTGGCGTCATTGGGAAGGCTTTGGCTTCCATGACCACAGCCCGCTCTTTGGCAAGAGAGGCAGCAAGCTGCTGGGAAGAGATGGCCTCCACCTCTCTCCCTGGGGAGGAGGCTCTTCTCAGCCAGACTGGCTGACCTGCTCCACTGGGCTTTAAACTAAGCTCTTTGGGGGACGGGGGGACTACTGCCACTGCTGGCCCGCTGAGCAACCCTTGCAAAGCCAGCAGGCAAAGGCACTTAAGGGAGCCCACCCTTGCACCAGCCCTAGTACAATCTGTGGGCAAGGCAAGAGCCCCCAAGGGGACACTTGCCTGCCTGTACACAAATGCCAGGAGCTTGGGGAATAAGCAGGAGGAGCTCATCCTCCTGCTCAATGTACATAATTACGAAGTCACAGGGATAACAGAGACCTGGTGGGACTCCACCCATGACTGGACCTCAGGTATAGATGGCTATACCGTGTACAGGAGGGATCGTGTAGATAAAAGAGGCGGGGGGGGTGTAGCTCTCTATGTTAAGGAAAGCTATGCGTCCCTGCAAGCTAATGTTGGTGACCAGGGTGTTCAACTGGAGACCCTCTGAGTTAAAATCTGTGGGGAACATGGCACAGGGGACACAACGGTGGGAGTCTACTACAGACCTCCCACCCAAAGTCCTGAGCTTGACCAGGTTTGCCTGGGAACTGGCTGAGGCTGCATGCTCCAGGACCATGGTTGTCATGGGTGACTTCAATTACTCGGACATCTCGTGGGAGGACTACTCAGCAAAATCCGAGCGGTCGCAAAGCTTCCTCTCGTGTGGATGATCTCTACCTGACTCAAGAAGTCTATGGGCCAATGAGAGGCAAAGCTCTGCTCAACCTGGTACGGGCTACAGGGGATGACCTAATCGGCGATCTAGTGATTGATGGGAAGTTGGTGAAGGTGATCAGCTCATGGTCGCTGTCACCCATCTGCCGTAAAGCTGGCAAGGCAGTCAGCAACACAGAAGTCCTTGA